CCTTTAAACATACCAAGTCTATGCTTAAAGGAAAGGCATTTTTCAAAGAGTTCGGTTGAGAAAACAAAGCACAAGCACCTACATCATCACACCAGATGCTGACAACAACGTAGGGTTATGGTTGGTGAGAATGGAAACAAAACAACTCGTATGAGTGAAGGTCTCCTGCTATGCTGGTTTCAATTCCCCAAATGCCTCCACCGCTGAAAAGACTCTATACCAGTGAATTTGAAATATGGTCTGTGCAGATGTTCAGTGCAGGTATTTAAATCTGCCAAACCTCTTCTGCAGCAAGAAGGGGTGGGCGGGTAGCAGACACTTGCATCCTGCACAGTGCTTTGTTGAGGGTGTCCTGCTCGATTTGCTTCCGAAGGCGTTTCCTGGCAGGGGCCAGGGCCGAGCCAGCAGTTTGCAGTAAGGCGCTCATTGCTGCACGTAGCCTTTTGCTCTAACCAGCTGCATCTACGCAAGGTAAGAAAACAGCCTGACTGGTCTAGCACAGCCTGTGTCCCTGCGAGGAAACTCTCTTATCCTCTGTACCACCACGGCTGCACCTGAGATGAGCAGGAGAGTGATGCCCGCCCTGTGTCAGCCCCTGCGTTAGCACACACTGCCTAAGAGGATGCCAGCTTGCACAGGCCAAAATCATACCACGGCAGTGCTAACCACAGCAGGATGGGCCAGCCGAAGCTTCTGCCTGTGGACCAACAGTCTCTAGTTTAGCAGCATAGATGTACTGTTGGTGACACAACAGGCGCCCTGGACTTACGGAGCAACTACTGTATGCAAACAGATTTCAGCCTGGCTTGGCTGCTGCTCATGTTTGCAAACTGCCCCTATTAGCTGCCAGTATCAGAGATTTCTGCATGTTTCAGTGTCAAAGTGAGGGCATGAGCATATTTCTGCATCAGTTTGGCTATGGGTCTTGGACTGGGCTAAGCTGCTAAAAGCATGTAGATGTCTAGAGCTGCAGAATCAGGTGGCTGGTAGAAGATTCTCAACTAGGCATGAAGTTCTCCAACACAACACACAGCATTTGCTCCA